ATTAAAAAAAAAAACTAAACCTACTAAAAATAAACAAATAAAATAATAATTTAAATTGCTTAGGATGCTACGCCTCCATTAATTTTAATAAATCTAGTTTTCTTGAAGTAATAACTTTATTACTAATAATTTATATATTTTTTCTAAGTAAATCAAAGATAGTTTGGTTGCTTCAAAATAAGAAACCTACAATCTCCTTTAATTTCATGGTAAGGGATTTAAGAGCAACTTGTAGATAAAAGAGAATGACTCCGTACTTTCTTTGTACTTTTTAAAATCATCAATAATATAGTAGTCAATTATCATAAAAAATATCAATTATATAGTACAATTATCATAAAAAATATCAATTTTATAGTAGGCAGAAGGTGCAATTCAGCCCCCCTACCTGCAATGTTGTGGGAGATCAGCCCCTGTACTAGAAACACTGGCAAATCAGCCCCTCTACTTCATGTTGTCCGCAAAACAACCCTTTTAGTGAGAATGACGTCATTCCACCGTTAGACCGTCCATTGCTCGTCAAAGCCTGATGAGTTGGCACTGATTGGGAGCTGAGTGGGCACTGATGTGGACCATTTTTGCTCCACCTGGGTTTACCAAGATGGCACTCCAATGCTTTTACTAAAGAACCCTTACCAGAACAATAAAATTGGGGATCTAGGGTTTGAATCTCACAATCTCACCTTCGATTGAACTTTCCTTCCGTTTTGATTTCCTTCTACTAATTTTAATTCCTTCTGAACTTGCTTGATTTCTTTCCCTCCATTTTGATTAACGTTTAGGGTGGTTTGGGCATGTCATCTTCGTCAGGATCTACGATGAGTTTTCTGCCAAACTTGGCGACATCATCGCTAGTCATCTGTTCGTCTTCCTCCTCTGCAATGTCATCACCGCTACTCTCCTCGCCAAGTCTGACAGATTGTCCGTAGAGAATCTCAGAGCCAACAATGCCGAGGATGAACTCTATAGAAAAGATTGTTTACTAGGAACACTGAAAATCACCAACTGCCATCTTCAGAAGATGCTGCGGAACTCTCGATAGAAAAGATTGTTTACTAGGACAAGGAGATCATCTCTCAAGTGAACGCGATTGATTTGGAAACGCAGTGCAATTTGGTGTCGAATCTTGATTTTGATTCGGATTTGGACATGGATAATCTGAACTCTTACCAGAGGAGCAAGTCGAAGAAGTTCGTTAGAGCGAGTGTGGAGAAAGGAAAAAGGGAACTACGACAATTGGGCTGTTCCAAATTGCTTTTTGAAGAAAAAAAAAAGGTATGCATATCTGTTCCATTTTTTGTTCTGTTTGAATTAGTGTTGTCCCCTGTTTTGTTAGGCTGAACGTATGCTTAGTTCTCTTTGAATCAGTGGATCACTAATCTCTTATTCTCTTTATTGGATGCTGTTTATATTTTATGTTCTCATTTCCATGTTTAATTATCATGCAGATGAATGAGAGGAGGATTGTGATTAATTGTTTTTCACGTGAAGGTCAACTTGCAAAATTGGAGTTAATTGGACCAAAGGCATTTCAGCTGCTTAAGAAAACATTTCATCCTGCTAATAGGTAAGTTATTTAGAGGAAGAAATCAACCATTTTTAGCTGGGATAATAATATTAGTCAAACTTAATTCTGCTGCAGCTATTCAGGGGATTCTTGGCAATTGCAAAAATGTTCAGTTGCAAAGGGTGATAATGATTATGAAGTTAAGAGCTTCTCTTTACCTGAAAATGAGAAAGATGTCCAGTCTTGTGCAGTTTTGTCTTTTACTGTCAAGGATCCTCGTTCCTTTTTGGATAAAATAACTGGAGGTGTTCCTGGGCCAGCTTCAACCAGTGAAATACGGGTAGTTGAATCCAAAAGACATGCACCAACAGCGGATGGAGAGGCACCAATAGCGAATGGACATGTTTTGCCTTGCAGGAGAATTTGTAGGGGAGTTTAGCACATACTGTCTCTTGCTTGTTGAGAGAAAGCATCTTGGCTTTTGTGATTGCAATGTTAGTTGTATTTGTAATGAAGGATTAGGTTCACTGAATACAGTGTCATTTGTTCCTAGGCAGGTTATGGGTAGGAGAGGATTTTGTAGGATGTGTATGATTTTGTAGTATCGAAACTTTGCCAAAACCTGGCACTCCATGTATTTTAGCAATTGGCCATGATATAAAAATGCAATATTTTGAGAAATTTGTCTATGTTTCCATTCATAATCTATCTATGTTAAACAGGAATTTAGCACTTAAAACAAGAGAGAAATAAACAGAGCAAAATGTACAGTAAATCAATTTGCATTCTACTGATTTTTGGCAATCAATTACATAACATGTTTCCATTCATTTATATCAAACAAGAATTTACCACTTAAAACAGAAGACAAATAAATAAATCAAAATATACAGTAAATCAGTTTGTATTCTACTGATTTTTAATAGTTAATTACATAGCAAAGTTAATAAGCTATTATACCTGTATTCAATAAGCAAAATAAATAGAGGGGAAGAAATCAAGCAAGTTCGGAAGGAATTGAAATGAGCAGAGGAAGGAATTAAAATTAGCAGAAGGAAATCAAAACAAAAGGAAAGTTCAATCGAAGGTGAGATTGTGAGATTCAAACCCTAGATCCCCAATTTTATTGTTCTGGTAAGGGTTCTTTAGTAAAAGCATTGGAGTGTCATCTCGGTAAACCCAGGTGGAGCAAAAATGGTCCACATCAGCGCCCACTCAGCTCCCAATCAGCGCCAACTCATCAGGCTTTGACGGGCAATGGACGGGTCTAACGGTGGAATGACGTCATTCTCACTAAAAGGGTTGTTTTGCGGACAACATGAAGTAGAGGG